CCCTTTTTTGGAGCCGGAGCAACCTGCTCCCATTCGCACGCCCACCAGACCCCGCACTTGCGCTCAGGCCCGTGCGGCAAGAGAGGCAGGGGCCGCTGCTGCAGCCCCCGATGATCCTGCTGATGACCAAGATTCCCCCGCTGAGGTCCCCGATGACGGAGCCCAGGAATCAGATGATTCCGACGTTCCCGATACCCCCCAGATCCCGGTCCGACAGCAACTCCGCCAGTATAGGGCCCTTGATCGCAAAAACCTTAAAGAATTGTTTCAGGCTGTCAGTTCCTATGGCCCCCAAGCCCCTTACACCCTCTCTTGTTTGGAGTCCATTGGCGGCGGTGGCGCTGTCTCTCCCACCGAGTGGCGCGACATTGTTCGCACTGCGCTCAGGGGAGACCTCTTTGTCTCTTGGGAGGCTGATTTCCTTTCTCGCTGTAAGGCCCTGGCAGGCAAGGACTCTAACCTCTATGCTCGCATCGCTGGCCTTCCCCCTTTTCATACCATCCAAGAACAACATACGCTTTCCAGGTCACAATTAGCCAACACGGCTCTCGCAGCCCTACGCGCCTGGAAGTCTCTTCCCAGGGCGGGCGCCCCGGCAGCACCTCTCTCAAAGATCATCCAGGGCCCCGAGGAGTCTTTTAGTTCCTTTATCTCCCATCTCTCGGAGGCGGCTGAGCATGCCCTCGGTGACGCCGCCACTGTGGCGGACAGCGCCCTCATTAGACAATTAGCCTTTGAAAATGCTAATGAGACCTGCAGAGCTATTCTAAAAAACAACTCCAAAGCCAAAACTCTGCACAACATGATTAATCTCTGCCGAGAGGCGGATCCTTTTATGCACAAGATCACTAAGGCCCTTGTCGCCTTCCAAGGCCAAAACAGGGGTAAAACATGCTTTCTGTGGCGGACAGCGCCCTCATTAGACAATTAGCCTTTGAAAATGCTAATGAGACCTGCAGAGCTATTCTAAAAAACAACTCCAAAGCCAAAACTCTGCACAACATGATTAATCTCTGCCGAGAGGCGGATCCTTTTATGCACAAGATCACTAAGGCCCTTGTCACCTTCCAAGGCCAAAACAGGGGTAAAACATGCTTTCAAAACGCGAATGCCCTTCTCTTTGTCCTCACTGCCGCCGTGGCCGCCACTGGGCGGCACAATGCCTCTCTGCCACAGATATCTCGGGCAGCCCACTTACCCCGGTCCAGGGAAACGGCCCGCGGGGTCAGCCCCGGACCCCTATCACTTTCCAGCCGGCCTCGGGGAACAGCCAGCTTACCCAACATCCACTTCCTCAGCAACCTTCTCAATCTACGGCGCTCTCACGGGTCCAACCCAGCCAGCACCCGTGCACCCCTCCGTTGGTTCCGTGCGAGCTACTGCCCCCTCAGCAGCCTCCCTTGTCCGGGCCACCCCAGGCAGCGCAGGATTGGACCTCAGTTCCTCCTCCTATGCAGTATTAACCCCTGAAATGGGAATGCAAGCCCTACCCACTGCCAATGGTATGGACCTGACCCTGTTTTAATACAGGGCCGAGGATATGTTTGTGTTTTCTCGCAGGAACATGATGGAGCTCGATGGCTACCAGAAAGGTTGATTTGTCATGTGGATACTCCTGCTGATGTCAGTTCCTGCAAGATGTGATGCCAATCCTCAAGGACATTGGACTTATATGCCAGATCCTCTCCTTGCACATCCTGTCTCATCTGATTCATGTGAAGTGCCAGTACTGGTGAATAATACAAATATACTTGGTCATTTATAAAGTAATGTTTCTATGTTATAAAGAAAATGAGACTGCTACATTGAGAAGTTTTTCTGGGACAAAAAGGACATTCATTAACCAACAACATCAAAGAGTTCATCTGCTGGTCTTAGCCTTTCTTCTGGACTTTGGTGGACAGTTTCACATTTTCTTCAAACCAACATTTGGAAACCTGCTACTGCATTGGGAGAAATATGTTTATGGTCAGAGGTCAAAGTTACTAGCCTTAGTTTCAATATTGTTGGCATAGGTGCCTCTAATATAATGTCTTGTGTTAACGCTCCTTATATGTTATTAGTAAAAAGTGTAGAGATTGTAAATGAAACTGATAATGAATATGACAACAGCTCTTTTAATTGTAAATTTACCAATTGTATATTCTCAGAGATGATGACTCCCTTTCATTCTGTGATAGTTTTGAGACAACCTCCTTTTGTAATGATGCCTGTGAAAACTTAATGAGTCCTGGTATGAAGATCAAAGTTTACAAATATTGGTAGAGGTAGAGAAAGCTATATGTCGAGCCTTTACAACCCATGGTATAACCCCTGCAGATGGCTGGTAGTCAAAGACGGGTAAGAGATTTGTGGAGAAATATCCAACCTAAGACAGAGCATGAGTATTGAACTTCTCATGGCTTGATGACGGGTAAGGGATTTCTCTGGACATTTCTCACCTAAGACAGGCACAGTCTTTCTGCTGAGCTGGGAAGCTCCCTGCTCTAAATATAATAAAAAAGGGGGAATTGTGGGAGCCCGCTGGCATTTGACATTGGAAAAGTAACTTCTACCATTGAGGCATTGACACAATCTATGACTCTATTTGGCTTTTCTGAGATGAGGGTCTCAGCTATGCAGATGAGATTGACCTGGAGCTCTCTGTGTAATCCAGGCTAAGCTCACTGTGTAATCCAGGCTGGGCATATGGGATTATCCAGGCTGGGCTTATGGGATTACGGGTGTTGACCTGGAGCTCACTGTAATCCAGACTAGTCTTATGGGATTACGGGCGTGCACCACCACGCCCGGCTCAAGGACTTTGTTAAATTTGACCTTTGATCTCCTCCCTAATATTGCTTGATGTTTCCTGTTGGCTTGCCTTTAAAAGGAGCTGTTTCTGTGTAATAAATCGGACCTCTTGTCTCCACACTATTGAGTGTGCTGTCCTTTCTCAATCCTCACTCCCCAACTCAGGTACGTTCGTGTTGTGACGGCTGGACCACCACAGGTATGTAAATGAATTAAATCCTCATGTATCAAAAATTAGGTAAACAACAAATATATGGAGATAATACTAAAGTACAAGCTAAAATAGAAGTCTGAGTGGAACTCAATAATAAGAAGGGTGTTTTGTTATTTAATATTTTGATCAGGTACATATGCCATTGTAGTAAATTTTTATGTGTGTGTGTGTGTGTGTGTGTGTTTGTGTGTGTATCTCACACATAGATATACACATATATTTTAGATGAATTTGAAAAAGACACAAGGATTTAAAGGTGAAATCACACCAAAATTTGGTTTGCTATGTTATACTGCATAATAATATAAAAGTTAAAAGATCTTTGAATACAGACTCTAGTTAGAAATGTCATCAAAACATTATTTCCCAACTTGTTTGTAAAAGTAGCTACCTGGAAAACATAATCTGAATATTGAATTTTTCAGTTTGTGTACCGAAGTCATATAACAGTCAGTTTCCACTGGTGTGAAAGTTAGTTCCCTGGTTTCCTGGTTGCTTCTGGAAGTTGCTATCACAATGTAAACTGCAATTATTTTTTTTCTCTGTTTCTAGTAAGAACATATGGAAACTATTTATTTCATCAGCTTTTTATACTACAGGGAAAGGATCACTTCATAGCCACACTGCTATTCAAAAGATGACAACTCTTTGTTAAAAATTTTAGCATCATTTTAAAATAACACTTTAAAAATATGTCATTCTCCCTGATCTGCAAAAAATGGAAGAGAATGGTGTGACTTTAAGCAAGTTTGAATTCTGATAATTAATATCTGCTCTTGTGACATAAAAAGGGGTTGAATTAAATTTTCAAAATTGCTTCTAATATCTTTTTTATGATTTCTCAATTTCTACCCAAATGAAATAACTTTCTTTTATTAGGAGTTATATCCTTGCACAATTGACCTTATAGATAAGAGTGGTCCTATGTATCTAGAAATGATATAGTCTATTAGCTTTGTCCTCTTTTGTTGTAATACAAATGTAACCTGATATCATGCTTCAAGTTGAAGCTTCTGCATCCTTCACGTAATCTAGTTAGGGACTCTAATCACAGACAGAGCATTAGCAGAAACCATATTGCTTCTCGGTTGAACTTTTAAGATCTACTCTTAAGGAAGACTGAGGAATATTTTCTGTTGGTGATGCAAAAAGAATAAAAAAGAAGAGGATAAGTGAAAGCAAAAATATTAAGTGCAAAAATTTGAAAAGCATAACTGTACTTATACTACTATTAGAGATCTCCATTACCCATAAATTTTTAACCACAGGGACATATTGGTATGAATTCATATCACCTAGAAGTATACAGGAAATACTTTTCTTTGAGACAAATTCTGTTCTTTTGCATCTAAATCATTATATTTTCTCCATAAATAACCTTTTCTTATTGCAACTTTGGAAACTTGATATTTTAAAAAAAATTGAAGCAGATTTTGTTACTATCCTAAAAGAAATATGAAGTAAGATCTTGCTAATGAGAATACTAGGATTTTAATGAATATCAAATCACCGAAGTAATTTGAGGAAACAATAAACAAAATAAACTTCTAAGCAAACCACTGATCACTAGATCTGATTCTCCTGCTATTAATTATATGGTTAACATTTAAAATCACAACTTCATTAAAAGAAGATTTTAAATATTATCAGAGCAGATAAATTAATTCCTCTTTTTGTAATTACCTTTCACACCTTCCTCAAGAAATATTTTTCCCTATAATTGGCCATAAGACTTCTAGCTTTCTTATACAGTCAAAACTAATGACTCAAATAATTTACCAAATTTAAAAGACTCAACTACCTTGATATTTCTCATGAGTATACATATCTGTAATATACTATTTTTATATGTATTTTTATATTTCTACTTAAATTTATAAGGACACAAAATGGAAATGATTTGGGGTGGAAGCCAGAGATACTTCAATTTGAATCTGGGCTCAATTTTTTATTATCAGTATTATTGTCATAAGGAAAAAAATGTAGCTGGAACATTGATCGGTTTAAATATTTAAGTACCCATGTTTTAAATTTTTAAAAACCACTCTGCACCCTTAGGGATGCAGGAGGAGAAGCCACATTTGTTAAATATAATACAACTACTGGGTGACCATAGTTCATTGTTACAACAAGAATAAGAAAGACAAACTAAACCAATCAGAACTTTTCCTGGAAGCTGCAGGAATAAATCTAATGTTGGCTCTCATTTCTCAAACTTTTTTTTTTTTTTACTGGTAAGGAGTCTTTTTTACCTTAGACATATAATTCTTAATTTCTTTGTGTCCTCTAGAGAAATGCACACACAAAAGTTCATAGTAAAAAAGTATGCATTTTGCTGTAGGCTTCTTATGAGAAAGATGATAAAAACCATTTACATCACAGAACTCACAACAAACAAGTTAAAAATATTGAAGAAATACATCAGATCTTCAAAGCCCTTCGTGCCATGGTAAGGTTTTATTTCTCTCTTGCCCTCTTTATGTTATGTCTATCTCATGCCCTATCCTCTAAATTGCTGTCTCTCTTATGTAAAACATTCAGATTTCCCTACTTTCTATTTCCAAAATGCAGATGCAAATTTAATTCCAAGAAACAAAGATATCAACATGTGCCTGGGCATACCTTAGAAAATAATGTGCTACTTTTCATCAGATGTAGTCTTTAAACTACTTCTACCACTCTCTAGTGAATTTTCCAAGCCAAATTTTAGAAAATAAAATATCCCTTTGCTTACATTGTTCACTAATTATGAAACATCCCTACATTAACAAGCCTGACTCGATGGCACCAGATGGAAGGGCTAAGACTGTTTCTTGCTTTTGTCCAAATGACACAGTGGGTACCCGAAAGTGAGTGTAGAAAAAGAACACTGAAGTATACTAGTAAAAATAGCAAAAGGACATAAGGACTGGCAATATTTCTCTTTTATCATTGTACCACACTGCTTTAAATCACAAGCACTGGACTCCAAATATCTGGTCAAGAAGGCTACATTTCATGTTGGTCTCTGCTACCGACCGTAGGGGAGCAAAGACTGGATTTCACGAGGAGAACAGGGATCTTCAGAAACTGAAGTATACTAGTAAAAATAGCAAAAGGACATAAGGACTGGCAATATTTCTCTTTTATCATTGTACCACACTGCTTTAAATCACAAGCACTGGACTCCAAATATCTGGTCAAGAAGGCTACATTTCATGTTGGTCTCTGCTACCGACCGTAGGGGAGCAAAGACTGGATTTCACGAGGAGAACAGGGATCTTCAGAAAGGTGGGAGCAGGTTCAGTGGTGTGAC